CTGACGACTTTAGAAATCTGTTTTTGTCCTCTCATAAAGATAACCCGAAACCCCTTTAATAACCAGAGGTGGGAAGTAGTGGAGTACAAATACTTCGTTACTGTACTTAAGTACATTTTTCTGGTATCAGTACTTTACTCCACTACTTATTTTTCTGATGACTTTTTACTTTTACTTCTTACATTTTTAACACAAACAGCTGTACTTTCTACTTCTTACATTTTCCAAACAGGCTGGTTCCTTTAGTTTGAATGTGTGTTTGGTGGCGTGATCATTATTATTTAGAGTCATTGCGTGCCTATTGATTTTAACACGATCCGTGTATCCATCATTTCCGGGTCTTCTCTAAAGAAGAGGGACCAATGAAAACGTTGTCATTTTGCCGTTGTTCAGCATGGAAACATTCATTAGCTAACAATGACATTATTGTTCTATTAATATAAAGGGAGGTCAGGTACTCTTTAAAACTGCTGGTAGTTATGGGTACGTTTTACTTAAGTACATTTCAAAGCCCATACTTCTTTATTTTTACTTGAGTAAAGAAGTTTAGTCAGTACTTCTACTTTTACCAGAGTATTTTTAAACATGAGTATCTGTACTTCTACTTGAGTTAAGGATGTGTGTACTTTTGCCATCTCTGTTAATAACACAAAGATGGGTTTATGTGGACCCCTCATGTATCTAGGGGTTAGAGCTGCCGTAGACATTATCCTAGACTGAGGTCATTGTTTGTTGAAATATTATTTCTGTTAAGCTGCATTCACATTATATGAAATTTGCTGATACTCTCCTGATTGGTTTCCAGTTGAAAGGTCAGCGGTAAACGAGGTCAAAGATGAAATAATATGAAGTCTGAGCGCAGCGTGGAGGCTAGCGCTTCACGACCAAGTCGGACGGCACCGCAGCAACGCTGTCTCCGTAGAAAAACAACGGCCACTTCAGTGCAGAGCAGTTTCCTGCTGATCATGTGAATGCAGGTTGAGAACTATTATTGGTTTAGAAATGGTTGCCAGCATCAGTGTCTAAAATTAAGAGAGAAATGGAACATTAATAAGATTGCACCAGACTATTCTTTAAAGGGCCCATGTCATGGCCATTTCCACTGATCATAATTCCATTGTTGAGGTATACTAAAATAGATTTATACTGTGCAATTTTCCAAACTCACATTGGTTTCGCATACAGCATCTCTGTAAAGTATGTGTATTCACCGGTATTCACTCTCTGCCCTAAACGGCTTGTTTGAGGTCCTGCCCCCCCCTCCCTGTGAGCCCAGTGTGCTCCGATTGGTCAGCTCGGCCACTCTGTTCTGATTAGTCAACCACCAGAGAGGCTCCGCCCATGTCTAACACAGTGTTTTTTCGGCTCTGAGCGGAGCAGCAGTTTTTGTACAAACTAAGCTACGTTTGCTAGTTGTTCAGTGTAATATGCCAACCTACTATGAACAAAAGCTAGTGGTTCATGGCTAGCAATAACGTGTTTACAATTGCAATCTTATACGGTAGTCTGCTACGTGTCGGTCATTCTTTTTAGCTTGCATAAAAACAATGTTTTTCCTAGTATGTCTAGCTATAGGTAGCCTTGTTGTTTAGCTTTGTAGCATACATGCTAGGAAAGCCAACTATAATGTAATTAAGTTTCGCGACTGACCGTACGGTAAATCACCCGGAGTATACTGTCTATGAGTATTTCGTGTGTGAATGCAGACATTTTCCTGCTATGAGAAACATGTACGGCCATCTGCTGACATTGTAGTTGATATATGTAAACGCTAGCAACTTCGTTAGCCCAGTTAGCACTGTTTTGAACTGAACCTGAGATTCCAACAGTATATATGCTTGGCTGGCAGAGGGTGCGTCATAGATCTGGGCGTGGCTACTGGGTATCCAGACGTCACGATGCCCAGGAAGAACATGAGAAATCTCCAACGAGGCGTTTTGGGGAGGTTTTTTCTGTGTTAGAGTTTTACTCCCTACAGGGTGTACTTTGAGGGTTTTTGACTTACTAACAAGGGCTCCATTTAATTACACACTAGCAATAGAAGACACCTATTTATTGACCTTATTTTCAAAAGCATGTCAAGAATTGTTGAAGGGATTAATAATTCTTAAAGTTACGTGCACAGCCAGGTGTTTTCCGTCATTCTGGCTGATTAGAAGTGTGCTCTATTGGAACATGGCTGGAGAGATCAATAAAGATGTCATTTCCCTGCTAAGGTGGAGAAAAGCTGGACGGGAGATGTCAGTTAAGCACAGATCGGCGTTGGCTAGCTGACAATATGTTGGACATTGGAAGCCTATTTACTTGTAGGGCTTGATCAACCTGTATGTTTGCATATCTACTATATAGTGGTTAAACTTATAGAGGCCCTTTCATGCTTTTTGTAGTTTACCCTCTCCTGCAGTGTGTTATTGTGTTTGTGTGCATGTGAATGGTCTGCAAAGGCTCAAATCCCTATGTTCCCTCCAGAGGGAGTTTCTCTCCCACCCCCTGTAGGCTAAGGGGCAGGACCTCTCTGAGCAGTTGACCAATCACAACAGAGCCGGCCGGCTAACCAATCAGAGCAGACTGGGCTCTGGTTTCAGACAGAGGGTGATAAGAGGTGCTGCAGCACAGGCAGTATGAGAAAGATAAAGAGCTTTTTGAACATTAAAGCATGGAGACATGTCACAGTAGAGGCTAACATACAAATATGAACCTGAAATGAGCATAATAGGGCCCCTTTAATATTTCACCTGATAGGCTCAGAGTAAATGCTTTTGCTTCCGTAAACTGATCACCAGAGTGATTTTGGAGAGAGTATGTCCATCCTGGCCAAAGTAACACAGGGGTCGCCAAATCCAGAAGCCATGACACCAACTCTGCCAGATTTAGAATGCCCCCCTACCATTTCATTACACCATGAATCCAGATTAAAAGGATTTATTTTGCTTAAAGTAGAGGGAAATACCATTGTGATTTTGGTGAGATTGTGACCATCCCGGCCAAAGAAACGGAGGGGGTGCTAAATCCGGCAGCCATGACACCAGCTCTGCCAGATTAAGAAAGTCCCCTTTAATGCAGATACCATAATAAATGCCTCAAACTCATTTTAATTGGACACACCCCTCCCAAATAAGGCCCAGCATGTATTACATTATTAAATGGCCCACAAGGGCCTTTTAGTTTGCTATTTGTTAAGTGTATGTTTTCTAATTAACCTGCTGTCATGTTCACTCTGTTTTTGCCACACTTGATTCATGCGCTAATATATAATAAAGACACAGAAGAGGTGAAACTTGTGAATACTCTTTTATTTTCTTTAAATTTGTGCATCAACTTCAAAGGGTAAACTGTGTGCACTCCATTTTGTTTTCACAACAAGTTCAAAATTAGTTAAGTGTTCTTTATTAATTTTATTTTTTAAATACATATTTTCCCATTTTAAAACCATTTACACACAATTGCTCAGCACTGGATTCTAGCAGTCTATCAGTAATCGGGGGTGTAGATAACCATAAGCATCATCAGCAGTCTTCCTCCCTCTCCGTGTGTGTACACTAAGTATTTGCTCTAACCAGTATTATCATTACACTTCTTTCATGTGAAGTAAAAATATCTTTCTTTAAATATGATTCCTTTACATGATAAAAATACTTTCTGTTTTCTTCTTCTGCAAAACATGTCACTGATGCTTCCCAGAACTCTCTCACTAAAAGAACTAATTGGTGTGAATCTGCTCCATGGAGGATGTGTGCACTCTCGGTGGTGTTTGTGTGTGTGTTTGTGTGCATATATGTGTGTGTGTGTTGGCTCTGTCTAGTGTCTAGGAGAGCCTCCTGAACTCCCGGCCTGAAGGACGCCCCCCCCCCCCCTCTCTGCGTTTGATTACACTCTTCATGGTGCATTTGTTTTGATAAAAATCATTACAAAATGTTGATTCTCTTCGTACAAAAACACGTTTTCATAGAAATTGCATTTGCACAAGTAAATATGGAGCTTTACTGCCAAAGAACGAAATCAAAGCCACAGGAGTACAAAATGAAAGTGAAGACTTGACACAGAGCAAATGGTAGGAAACTGTGTGTACCCATACAGAGGTAAAGTGAGGTGTGTTCACGGCAGTAGTGAAAATCCAGTCCGTAGAGATAATAAATAAGGAGTCTCATAAATAAAACAATAAATACTTTGAATAAATAGAGTTTGTGTTTTTTTTGATTGCTATGAATTTAGACTTGGTGAGTTGTGCCCACCCCATTCCACGGTTCCTCCTTATTAACATTAAGAGTGTGTTCCTCCATAGGATCGTTTTTAAGTGACTACTGGCTGATACATCGGCAGCTCACTATATTACCTCTACTCCATCCTCTGCTTGAACTTCCCAATATAACCCCCCCTCCCCTCCCCTACATTAAAGACTCAAAGGGTTAGTACTCTGAAACACAAATAAATGATATCACTTATTGCCTGATAGATGATATACAGTATATCCGTTTTGAAGTCGATCAATATCACTGACTGACTGCGCAGTGCCTCTCTGTACATTTAGCTGCAGAGTCCGCCTTCATCTTCAGGGCTTCGGGTTTAATTCTAGAGAGCTGAACTTTTGAAAATAAACAATCCTGTACAAACTTTTCTCCTTAATCCCCCAGTAAGCATCTTTTATAAGCTCATAATCTCTGAGATGCTCTAAATGCTGCTCCACCAGCCTCTTTAGCGAAAGACTGACTGAGCAGCAGCTAAATAAGATAGGTCCAATTATTTTCCTTTTTTAGGGGACCAGCTTTGTCCCAACTTAAATTTATATCCATACCTTCTCTCTCTGACTCCTGGGTTTCAACAATCCTGGCACCTGTAAGAGTACTGAGGTAACTCACTGAAATTTCACCCAGGTTCAAGTTATTTCCACAGGAAATATTGTTAAATCTCTTATCCGTAGCTATTTATAAAGAAACATGTTGTCAATATACTCAAGCAAGCACCTCCGGAATAACCCAACTGTCCACCATTAAAACCCCCCCTTACCATTTACCCCCACCCTTTACCCCAGTGTCTCTGCAAACCTCCTCGCTGCAGGAGAGAGGGTGATAAAGTGATTGAGGATCCCATTTTAGGCCATGGTCTCTTTCCCTGGGAGTCTGCGGTCGTTGAAGGTGTGCATGTTGATGACCTCCTCTGTTTTCACCATGGCAGGGGGCTGGGGCTTGTGTTTGAGCCGGCGCTGGCACTTGAGGGAAACCCGCAGCTCGTCCACCATCGCACTGCAGAAGGACCTCTGCGTGGGAAAAAGGAGAACAGAATGGGTTTCAGGCTGCTTCCCCGGTCCAAATATTATGGGCAAGTGAACAGGCCTGTTCTCCCTGAGGGCAGCCTCGTTTTGTAGCCCCCACCCATCACCACCCACCACTGCAGCTTAGAACGGCCAAAGGGGAAAATGGTGAAATATACAGTGTATCAAGCTGGGAATGGAGGGAATGCTGGATGGGAACATGGTAAGAGGAATGATGGAGGGAGGTGCAGGTCCATAGGCTGTGTAGTGGAGTGGAAGGTGTGAAGGAATTACTCCACAATAGTGTCAGAATACATCAGTAGTGAATCTGTGGTTGTTGCTGCACATGCAAGGCTTTTGATGCATACAGTGTGTGACATATTGCAAGATATTCTTCATTCCAACATCAAATGTTGTACTTGTTGGACATTGGACAATCTGTAATGTTTAATACATGTCAGTAGTATTTTGAATGTTTATGTGTTTCATATTCTTTGGGCGGCTACTATCTGGTATACATTAGCAATAGCCAATGTGTCCCATAACATCTTTTCACAGTATCAGAACAATGTGAGGTTGTTTCTTTTATCTCAGAACTCAGCGTCAATATTGGAAAGTTCAGCAAAATTGCCTTCAATGAGTCTTTAGCCATGCTAGCTATATACATTTAGGTATGGCACCATCATCAGATCAGGTCTTTTTTTTTTGTTCATTTTCTATGGTTTCTGACCAAGTACGTGAAAAACTATTCCTATTAACCTCAACTTTACTGGTGGACAACAAACTGTTGCTCTCTGCCAACAACAATTCACATCCCACTCATGAAGATACACAATCTTCAACATTACATTACATTACATGTTACTTGTTAGATGCTTTTATCCAAAGCGACTTACATACTCAATACTGTGGACAACCCCCCCAGGAGCAATTTGGGGTGAAGTGTCTCAGGGACACAACGACATGCTGACTGCAGTGGGGTTTGAACCTGTGACCCCCTGATCCGAACACCTACGCACAACTGACCCAGAAAGAGTCACAGGTTCTTGTTCAGGCTCTTGTAAACTCGCACCTTGAGTACTGAAACTCCCTCCTGGCTGGTCTGAGCTTATCCAGAATGCTGCAGCCCTCCTGGTCTTCAACCTAAGTTCTCCCACACTACACTGCTCCTCAGATCCCTTCACTGGTGACCAGTTGCTGCATGAATCCGCATCAAGACACTGGAATTGGCCTACCATGCTGTGAATGGATCAGGTCCTTTCTACATCCAAGACATGGCTAAACCAAACACTCCAGAATGTGCACTTAGCTCTGCACTGGCCAATCACCTCACTGCGAGTGGGACCCAGGTACCACTCAACAAGAATGCGCCTGTAGGTCTACCCGTCTTACGTTGGAGACTGAAAACCCACCTGTTACCACTGCACCAAGGCCAATAAAAACAGATGTCTCATTTCTGTATGTAGAATTGAATATGGTTTAGATTCTTGCTACTTTAAAGCTTTTTCATTGTTGATTGCACTTATTGTACATTTCCATGGATAAAAGCCTCAGCTAAATAAAATGTACTGAAATACTTCGTGCTGAGTGCTAATGAGCTAATGTAACATGGACAAAGAAGATATTGAACGTGGTATACAATATACCTGCTAAACATTGTCATTGTAAGCATAATAACATTGACATTAGCAATTAGCTTATTTGTAGTAAACGTATAATGCAAATATTTGTAAGATAATTTATACTAAAGGCAAATTGCAACCCACATGAAAAAAATGCACCTATTGCAAATATAAAGTTCATAAAAAGTCCTGGTTGCAGGTAGAAAATAGCAAACAATGCAGGTTTTGTAATTGGACGTAAACTCTAGACTCAGAAATGCACATTCCTACCGCTCATTGTCAAATGTCAGTGTATTCCAATTAACTCAGGGTTCTTTTCTGCACACAGGAACACTCAGCAAGAGCCGCAGACATAATGATGATTAGAATGGAGCCTTTTTTCATCAAGGCAAAGCAGGACATTTTACCTTCTCAAACCTTCACACCTTCACTTCACTCCTACCCTATTGTTTAAAAGAAAAAACTGACCAGGGCTGGAACCCCAGTGTAGGATTGATTGGTACAACTTAGTATGTGACCTATCAGAAACTACTTTGAATATCAATGCATACACACCTGACAGACGAACAATGTTCCTCTTTTCATTGTGTGACAGTGCTGTCCTGAAATTGCATCTCTGTGTCATCATGTCTTGTAGTGTGGGCATAGATAGTTTCCAAAAGTAAAAGAAAACCCCACAGGAATACAGCAAAGTCTACCTACTGATGCTCTTTTCACTGATAAGGTCATAGTTAATGCTGTGATACTGCTGTTTGGAAGTACAGTAGGGTGCATTTAATATGACTGGAGATGATCACAACATTTAATTTCCAGAAACAATGCGTACTATTTAATATCCTTTCATCCATCCACCCGGATCTCTTTCCTACATAGACCTTCAATGCTGTCATTTTTCAAGGTCTGTTTTAAAACAAAAGCTGTAAAACTACATAATTGTAATGTGAAGCAAAATAACAATGACAATTCCACTGGATAATTAGCCTTGGATTAAAGTTGATACAACTGGCAAGTAAACCAGTTGATACATACTAATCAGAATTATGCATCAACTGTTATTCTCTAAAGTGTTGAGTAAACAGAGTAATAAATCACTTCAGAGAGAATTAGCTACATCTCCAGTGGGGATAAGACACACACTTGTAGCCCCACATTATAACCTAACTTCATAATACAGTATACATGTATGAAGACAGATTTAAATGTAAATACTGCCGAGTGCAGCTTTATCCACATTCTGTGATTATCACCCAACATCTGGACACATTTCACCATATACAGCCTGACTGGCAATGAATAAAATTAATACGTAGTCAATTCAGAGATTCATATATAATTGAATGATTAAATGTTTCCATATTCCGTTCAACCCGTTAAACAGAATCAGATTCTCAAATGGAATGTGGCAGCTGTGATGTTCAGACTGTGAGATCTCAATTCTCTCCAGGAACATGAAAATGAGACACATCTTCAAAATGTTTTCTGAGCGGGATGTGGTGATTGAATACTGAGAGAAATAACGGTCTGATGAATTGCCTCTGACAACGTGTTTTGCAAGAATATTTTCTATAGAGAGCATGACTGGATGTTTGGAGAATCAGGAGAACTCCCTGGCCAGACGGTCGGTCTCGACTGTGACACTATGACTGTGTAAATAAAGCAAAATGAAATGTGTAAATAAAGCAAAGACGTCACACAGAACTGTCTGATATCAGCAAGTCTACTTTTAAACTGGTAGTGAGTCCTATCCCATATCAAGCACTTTTGATCCCACACTCAAATGCATCAACAAACGTTCAGTGCATAGAGTGCGTGGCTGAGCAGCGTGAAAAAAAATAGCAGCACTGGGGAGATAATGAGAGAAAGACAAAGAGCGGAGCATTACATTGGGAAAAACCCTGGAGGAACATTCAGCTTGATATTGGTAAAGTGAAAAAAAATGAATATATAAAAAAAAAGGGACATGGTTTGTGTTTAAAACTATATATGCAGATTTTTGTATTAATTAATATTTACTCCTGTAGCATGAATTATGGAAGCGCAATTTGCTTATGCTGGAAGCTAAAGACACTTAGCTGTTTGTTTGTTTTAAATGTTGGTTTGTTGAAGTAGTTTTGTGTGTAAGAATACATTTAAAAATATATGTTAAGTGTAAAAAAAATTCTACCAAATGGCTTCATGATATGAATGTTTGGACGTCGACCTGGGCGGACATTAGTTTTGTTGGCATGAGTTATTATCCCATCAGGCCCTGTGTTTATTACATTACCTGGTTTTGCTTAATTTGCTTTGAAGGCTGCAATAATGATTTTAGGTTTGAAAGTAAGACATGACAGTTTTAGCAGAACATGTTAAGTACCTTATAGGTTTTTTCATCATAAACCAGGGTTAGCAGGATACATGCTCTTTGTGGGGTAGTGACTCACGTAAATATCCACTCAGGAACACGAGACGCCAGCTGAACTAAATCTATGCACAGACACAACCCCGGCAGGCATCTCCACATGTGCGTAAACACACTCTCAGTGAGCCTGGTGGGTTTTACAGGCCCATAGAACACCATCACTTATTGATGCACATTGTATTTCATCAGACTGAATATCCTAGTCGCTGCATGCTCAATTAAACTGCTGTTTCTTCACATTGTCTCCTCTTTTCTCATAAGCTACTGTGGAACACTGAGCGAAACAACATCAGCATCTGCTAATGGAACTGTCCTGCTTCTGCGAGGAGAGACACTGTGTGTGTGTGTGCTTCCAGTTAAAAGCTGTTTAATGTAGCTAACAAAGTGTTCAGTTTTATTTGAAAGCCATGATTAGTACTTGGGCCCAGTGTATACTTATCTTTATTATAGTAACATACAAATTAGAAGCTGACACAGTGGATGTGGTTGGTTGTGAGGTCTTCCAGTGTGTATAATAATCCCTCAGAGGCTAATTCAGGCACTTACCTAAAGGCCAGCCCTATCTCTGCAATTAATCTTCCTCTGACTATTGATGGTGACATTCATGGATAAAGCCAGAGTGGAAATGCAGTAGAAAATTGACACCTTTTTGCAATTGATTCAGAGGTGATAAAGCATTTTAACATCAGGAAATCTATACCACATTCATTCTAAGACAATAGTACACTTACAGTTGAAGCTATAGTGGGTATTATTACAAATACTCTTTAAATCCATACAGCAATAAATGAATAAAATGGTCTGGCAAGAAAAGAAAAGAAAAGAAAGAATAATCTGAATCCATTAAATCCTTTCATTCCACTCAAATGAAATGATTTTACAACATGCCTGTCAAATGACCTGATGCCTATCTGCGCGCACTGTGCCAGGACACTCTTACACTTCCACTAGCTACTACCTTAACATATGTGAAAACTAACAGC